TTATTATTATTATTATTATTATTATTATTATTATTATTATTATTATTAGATGCTAACAAGTTCTACTTCCCCTCCCCACCTGAAAAGAAATCAGTTCCAAATGCAAAACACAAGCAGAGCAGAGGAGTTTCAGTTTCAGTTTTACTTTCACAGCAGCAACCAGCTTTAGTACAGAACAGTTGAGCTAAGCCACACCCAGGCTCCTTGCTGTCTCCTTGCTCACACAGCAAATACTGCTTCAGTTTCCAAACAGCTCTCAACTCTCACACACTGACAGGACACTAGCCAGATGAATACTGATGGATGCTGGTAGGCAGAGGCACAATTCCCCCCCCCCCCTTATTTTCCTACCCAAAAACTAAGCCCAATAACATAGTTTCGTAGCAAAGCATGGATATAGAGCTAGTACATTATATCTATTAACCAGGAAAATGATGAATACTTTAGAAATATGTGCCTTAACCAATTATCCATTAATTAATTGTCTTTTTTATTATTCAAAGGCTTTGATGTCTACTGGAAAGGAACCATTTCCTACTATCTATGTGGACTCCCAAAAAGAAAACCAGGTTGGTTAATCAACTCATTATCATTTCCAGAAACCAAAAATATTGGTCAGCAGTTCAGAAATTAGCAAGCAGAAATATATCACTAGCTTCCAAAATTCAACAGATGTGATTGTGGTCTCACTGCAACCATTGTCAGCGTTCTGATTGGAACCTCCATTCCAATCAGTAACTCCCGAGACAAACGTATCTCAAAAGTACCTTTATTAGAATAGCACCTGGCACATCTGTGGAATCCCGAATCTAAACGTTTTCCACAGTTTCCCAAACTACAAATCCATCCCCCCCTTGGTTGTCATCACATCACATGGCCCAATCACGATCCGTCCAAAAGTAAGATCCTTATTTCATCCTGCGCCATACTCAGTGACCTTGAACTAACAGAAGAATTTTATTTTGTCTACTCAGAGCTACTTAATTTAAATCACCCCTCTTCCACTTTCTCAGGCTGTGTGGCAGCGTGCAATAGGGCTTTCAAAGCTGACAACCATGTACTTTTTTTTTTTTAAAAAAAAGGCTTGCTCCTTGGGAGAAAAGCTATGGCAAACCTAGACAGCATAGTAAAAAGCAGCGACATCACTCTTGAGAGTCCCTTGGACTTCAAGGGGATCGAATCAGTCAATCCGAAAGGAAGTCAAACCTGACCGTTCTTTGGAAGGACAGATAATAGGTAGCCCTCAACTTATGACTACAGTTGAGCCCAAAATTGCTAAGTGAGATGTTTGCTAAGAGGCTTTTGCCCCATTTTACAATTTTTCTTGTCACGGTTAGTGAATCACTGCAGTTGTTAAGTGAGTAACACGGTCGTTAAGTGAATCTGGCTTCCCCCTTTGACTTCGCTTGTCGGTAGGTCATAAAGGGGGAATCACATGACCTTGGGACACAGCAACCGTCATAAACAGGAACCAGTTGCCAAGCCTCCAAATGTAAGTCACATGACCATGGGGAATGCTGCGATGGTCATAAGTATGAAAAATGGTCACAAGTTGACTTTTTTCAGCTCTGTGTAACTTTGAACGGTCACTAAGTGAACTGTTTGTAAGTTGAGGACGACCTGTACGGAAGCTGAAGCTCGAATACTTTGCTTACCAAAGGAAAGCGAGGACTTATTGGGAAAGACCCTAATGTTGAGAAAGACTGAATGTCAGCATTCCACAAAACCTCAACTCCAATAATAACTCCAAGGCAGACATCTTCTCTGTGGTTCCTTTTATTAGCGTAGTAAACTGGCACATCTGGGAAGTCCCGAATCTGAAAGTTCCAGGTTTCCCTCCAATAAGTAAAATATCACAAATCCACCCCCTGCACCCCTCATTCTATCACATGCCCCAATCACCATCTGTCAACCACTCCTCAGCCAGGTGCAGAAATAACATGACCTTGAATTTGAAGAAGAATGCTATTATGTCTAACCACATACGGCTCCATGAAATTCCCCCTCCCATTTTCCCAGGCTCAAGAATGTGGCAGCGTGGAAGCTTCTGGTGCTAATATGGCTTCCAAAGCTGACATGAAGGCAAAAGGAAAAGTAGACGGCAAAGGATGAGATAGATAGATAGATAGATAGATAGATAGATAGATAGATAGATAGATAGATA